TGGGTGACCCAGAACGTTGACCAGGTGGCCACAGGAACATGGGTGACCCAGAACGTTGACCAGGTGGCCACAGGAACATGGGTGACCCAGAACGTTGACCAGGTGGCCACAGGAACATGGGTGACCCAGAACGTTGACCAGGTGGCCACAGGAACATGGGTGACCCAGAAGGTTGACCTGGTGGCTGCAGGGACATGGGTGACCCAGAATGTTGACCAGGTGGCCACAGGGACGTGGGTGACCCAGAACGTTGACCTGGTGGCCACAGGGACATGGGTGACCCACAAGGTTGACCTGGTGGCCAGAGGAACATGGGTGACCAAGAATGTTGACCTGGTAGCCACAGGAACATGGGTGACCCAGAACGTTGACCTGGTGGCCACAGGGACGTGGGTGACCCAGAACGTTGACCAGGTAGCCACGGGGACGTGGGCGACCCAGAACATGGCTTATTGCCTCCATACCCACAGACACACAGGACACAGAAGGCCAAGGCCTCACCCGTTGCCCTAGGGTGACCTAGAACACGGTTGAGCCGGTGGCCGTCGGGCCGTGGAGAAGCTGGGCCACAGCTCAGCCTCCCCCAACCCCTGCCCAGGAGGTCTCCAGGCAGGGAAACCGAGGCACGGCGGGCGCCTCAAGGCCGGGGAGCCGGTCGTGCCCCTGAGCCCTCTCTCCTCCCCGCAGACGGAGGAGGACAAGAAGAACCTGCTGCGGCTGCAGGACCTGGTGGACAAGCTGCAGATGAAAGTCAAGGCCTACAAGCGGCAGGCGGAGGAGGCGGTGGGTGGAGGAACGGGAGGGACGGACGGGCGGTGGGGCGGAGGGAAGGGGAGGATGGACGGGCGGTGGGACAGAAGGTACAGAAAGACGGAAGGGTGGTGGGACGGATGGAAGAGAAGGATGGATGGACGGTGGGGATGGAAGAGAAGGATGGACGGATGGTGGGACAGATGGAGGAGAAGGATGGACAGATGGTGGGACAGATGGAGGAGAAGGATGGACAGATGGTGGGACAGATGGAAGGGAAGAATGGATGGACGGTGGGGCAGAGGGAAGGGAAGGATGGACGGATGGTGGGACAGATGGAGGAGAAGGATGGACAGATGGTGGGACAGATGGAAGGGAAGAATGGATGGACGGTGGGGCAGAGGGAAGGGAAGGATGGACGGATGGTGGGACAGATGGAGGAGAAGGATGGACAGATGGTGGGACAGATGGAAGAGAAAGATGGAAGGGTGGTGGGACAGATGGAAGGGAAGGATGGACGGATGGTGGGACAGATGGAGGAGAAGGATGGACAGATGGTGGGACAGATGGAGGAGAAGGATGGACAGATGGTGGGACAGATGGAGGAGAAGGTGGACAGATGGTGGGACAGATGGAAGGGAAGGATGGATGGATGGTGGGGCAGATGGAGGAGAAGGATGGACAGATGGTGGGACAGATGGA